GTCGACGTCGACCAACGGCTTTGCGCCGGCCTCCATTTTGAATATCGGTGCTGTTCAATCGCTATGTTGCTTGAGTAGATTTCATCTTGTCGTTGATGGTGGTGTGCTGGGGTTTTGTACTTCGATTCGGTGTTGATGTCAGGATTATGTAACGGTTCGCTGCGGCCATCTGCCAAACAAGTTATTGGTCCTACTTGATGATATCATCACTATACATAACATTTCGGAGAAATATATTATTTGATAGCAAATGCGTTGCTTCTTTCTTTAAAAACAGGAATTGTGGTGTCTATTTGGAGCAATTGAGTTGAATCTATATCTATACATGTCATAAGTATACCGACGTTGCTATCAAGAACAATGAGAAGATTTCATGCAGATGCAGATGAGCTACCCATGTCGAGATCATCCAGACGCTGATGTAGATCGGAGAAGTTCATCTGAATAGTAGGGAAGTCTGAATCCTGCGTAGATCGAAAGTTTTGCTTGATTAACGAGGTCAATTGACTCTCCCATAAGCTTAGGAATTGCAGATCAGCGGCAGTAAACCCTGTAAAAGTGTCTTCCTCTCGTATATATAGATCATGTTCATATAAGTCGCGAAATTGCTTGGAGATCAGAGAGATGGCTGCAGGCTGCACCAGGCATAAATCATGCAGTTCGCACCCCTCCGCTATCTTCTCGAATGGCAGCTTGTTTGTTTGAATTCGTCGGCTTTTGCCCGGATCTGAAGCAAGCCTCCTTTGATCATGCGCGCTTTTATTGCGCATGAGATAAGACCTCGGATCATGTGGGTTCAGACGAGGACTTGAGTTGTCAGTTTCAGAGATCGATGGCTCTGACTCGGCATTGCCGTCATTGACTTCGGGCTGCAAAGCGGCTTTGGCAGCAAGGTATCTGCTCACATGAGGTGAATTCGCGGCGGACGCATCCTTTCTCTGCTCTCGGAGCTTTCTGATCGCTTCTCTCTTGCGCTTCTCAAAGTCAAGTGCCCTTTCCAGGTCGGGGTTATGGTTAGCATTCGCCAGTCTGTGCAAATTTGCAGACCATTGGTCCAGCCGCCTCGACGCTGGCTCTGAAGCGCGACTCCGGCTGATGACTGACGACTCCACCGGACTCGTCGCCTCCTCAGACGGTTCTGGACTTCCTGAAGTCGCAGTAGACCTCTGAAGGGCCGTTGTGTCTGAAGTGCCCGGCGGGTGTTCACGTTGTGCAAATCGGTCCTGCGCTAGCTGCGACAACGGAGGCTCATCATGTTCGTTTTCCGGACGCTGCTCAACCGGCACTTGGTGAGCTGATGCTTGTGTGGTCCTCACAAACCACGTATCGAGAGCACCGTTACCATAACGCTCTTTGTCGCGCTGCCTTGAAGCTCTTAATCGTACAGATGGACCGTGTAGTGGCGTGATTGGAGAGGTTTGTGTTAGGTTGGAGACCGAAGCAGAAGCAGAAGAGTGAGACTCGGCTGGGGAGTGTGACAGTCGATTCGAACCAGGTGTGGACGCACTCGGCGAAGCGGAACTTGCCGAGCGCAAAGGAGATGTATCGATTGTAGACCTGGATTCCTGTTCCTGCGCCGCACGAGGCAGCCGCGCGGATCCTGTTGCAACCCTCGACGGAGTCTGATGGGATGGAGCTCCAGAAGGGGCATACAGTCGTGTCACTGACCACGGATTGAGGCCCTCTAAATCTCTGGTTCTCGTATGACCGGACGCACCTGGGCTTCCATCGGCGAATAATCGCTGTTCGTGTCGGCCATTCTTCGGGCTGCTCCTCGTGTGGAAAAGTGAGCTAGCCGTGACGAAGCTGGGTGGCTCGTTACCCTCTTTCACCGGTTCGACAGAACATTCAGAGGTGTCTTTACGAGCTAAAAGGAGGTCGAAGGCGTCATTATTTGTCATCCTCTCTTTCCCTTTGGAGGAACTTTTGCGTGTCTCAGTCCCATCAGGGGTTTCACCGTAAACGTCCTTGAATAGATCTTCTGCAAGCGAGAGAACATCTTGCTGATTCTCAAATAAAACATCGTCCTTGGCTGGTTCAACATTTACGTCGTAACAGGCTTCCGGGCAGCGGATTTGCAAGCAAAGAAATGGATCCGATATGTTCGAGAAACCGCCGCTACGCGAAGCAGCTGCTCGTAGATAGGACTTGTACAGTTTTGAGATCTCCTGTCCAATGCCCCGAGATGCTGAAAGAGGTCTACCGTCTACACTGAAGAATTGTCCCGCATTGTTCACTTTCAAGAAATCTGCGCTCATCAGCCAAGTTCTCAGTTCAATGTGTAGAGTGAATACCTGATCCAGGATCCGCAAGTAGGGCCAGCAGCTGAAAAGAAGAGTCATTACCACTCCCAGACTCCTCATCCGAATCGTTTCCACAGGGCCACTCCTTGGCTACGCAAGCAGAAGCGACCTCAGTGCCGGCAACTTTGAGTGCTGCGTCCATAAGCGAGGCATTTTTTCCAGGGGCGTAGACCCAGTTCGCCTTTTCGCTAGCAGCTTTAAGAACCTTCAATGAGAGCCTTATAGCGGGTTGAGCAATAGCATACGACTGTATGATTTTCTTGATCCTGGCTATTGTCTTTGCGGTACTTTTCAGTACCGTTTGTCTCCGGACTGGTATATTCTTGAAGAGATCCGTTACTCGGACCGTTGTACCGACTGGGTGCGAGGCACGTTGAGTACTTCAATCTGTCAGTACAGCACACTTCGAAGTCTCTTCCGGGCAACGTACCTGATGAGCTCGCCATTTCTTCCATATTTCATGCAGAAGCCAACTGGGTCCGCTTCCACTCTGGTCGTGACCGTCACTCCTCCGCAAACTTCAGCAGCACTAGCTAACGCTTCACCCCTGAAGCCTAGCGACTTTCCGCCGAGTTTCCTCAGATCCTCGACAGTCTCGATCTTGCTAGTGAAGGCGCGTCTACAGACGAAAGGATGATCTTCGGACGGAATTCCATGTCCATTGTCCTTTACCTGGATCACGTCGACTGTGTTCTGGGAGATTTCTATAAATATTGCAGTGGCGTGCGCGTCAAGAGAATTCTCCAGCAACTCCTTGACAATGGAGCAGGGGTCTGAAATGACAGAAGTTGAGCCAATTGCTCGAACAGTGGTCTGGGGAAGGGCCGCGATCGGCATCCTCAGCGGTGATGACGCGATACGCGGATCATTCTCTAGATATTGAGCCTTTTCATGTTTTATTGATGAGAGCCGCTTAAATACTGATGAACTCGATGGATCTATCTCAGCGAAGTATGCATGAAGATGGCAGGGATGAATGGCCGTCGATATTTCCACGCACGCTTGTATCAATATCACGTGCTTTACGCTTAGTCAAGACCGCCTGCACCACGTGGTCAGCATCAACACTCGTTGAAGAATTATCTTGAAGCCATGCAAGACGACTTTGGTATCAATCAAGCTTCCTGAATGCATAAGATTGTATAGATGAATATGCCCCTGTCAAAATGCTCTGTCGCTCGTTCAACATTTCGCAGTTGGCCATTCCGTTCGTCTCCGCGTTGATCAGTTTTCTTGCGTACACGTCCCAGTTATTTTTCTACTATTTCGAAGAGGCACCACTAAGGTCGCAAGAGTTCTGGCGCCTGAACATCTTCGCTCTGTGCATCTGGGTATGCTATTACCGCGCCTGCACTGTAGATCCTGGCCGGATACCCAAGGACTGGGTGCCCTCCAACCTTAAGCAATTGGAAAAGGATTGCGCAGGGGGCAGGCAGCGCTGGTGTCGTCGATGCGAGGCTTTCAAGCCACCGCGAGCGCACCATTGCAAGACATGTCAGAGGTGAGTTTTTGTGGCTCGAGAGTTATTCCCGACTCACAATCGCAGGTGCATTCCGAAGATGGACCACCACTGTCCGTGGACATCGAATTGCATTTCACACTTTACATATCCTCATTTTATGAGGTTTCTGTTCTATGCTGTAGTAGGCATGGGCTACCTTGAGACTCTTCTCTTCGAGAGAGCTTCGATAGTCTGGGCATCGCGCAATCTTCCTAGTGTATGAGCAGGTTGCCCGCCTGAATTCTGGTGCAAGCTAATTCCGTTTAGTACCTCGGCCCTAGTTTGGGACAACTGGCCCATCTCTTCATTTTATTGGTGGTGAACAGTTTGACCTGGCTTGCACTATTTATTCTTCTGCTTCGAAGTCTCTGGTCCCTAGCTCTTAATACCACCACTATCGAATCGTGGGAGATTGAACGACATGAGACTCTGCTAAGACGAGCTCGACATTTTGGGGGGTATCTGTCCGGACCAGGCGGTATCCAGATTCGGATCAAGAAGCAGGAATTTCCATATGATATTGGCATATGGTCGAATATCAAAGCCGGAATGGGCGGGAGTGCGAACGTTGGTTCAGCCTCGAGATTCTTGACAGGTGCAACGCTGACGACGTCCAGGTATTGAGTTGGTTCTGGCCCTTTGCAGCTACTCCTGACCGGTCGACTGGTCTAGAATTTGAAGTCAATGGCTTCGAGGGTGAGTGCACTGTTTGATGTACAGGTATACAGAACTCATCAGTTAATGCTGGACAGACCCAAACCTATCATGGCCGCCGCCAGACCCTGATCGCATTCCACTTCCTGCAAAGCGGGAGGACCTGAGCGCCGCCATTGCGGCTGCCGATGCTTCGTATCATAGGGCCGTACAAGCGCGAAATAACCAGCGGTCTAATGATGCCAGCCATTCGGAGGGAGCACATAACATACAGCGTCGGAAACGCTTCCATGACCGGTTTAATGAAAATAAGGCGGAAGAAAGGGATTCTGAAAGTGAGAGTGACTCTTCCGATGATGGGGAAGCACAGGATGGTGAGGAAGGCTGGAAGAACTCTGAAGGAGACCGCCTCCGTGATTTTGGAGTTGACGAGGAAGTCGAGTTTTACGACGAGGAAGACATCCCTCTAGGCATTTTGATGCAAAGACGCCGACAACAGTGACCGGGTGGTCGGCACGTGCTGTATGATAGGGTATCTTAATTCACAATGCTTGACTCAAATCAGGGTCAAATCTCGGATCATGGAGAGACAGAAAATCCCCCAACATCTGCGTTTCCGGATGCTGCAGCTCCCTTGGCAATGCACTTCCTCCACCGAACAGAGCCCATTCCGCTGCGCCATCGAATAGTCTCAAAGGGCCCAGAGCCGCATTGCTCTCTGCGATACCCGAGGGCCCCATCTCGCTTGTCGGCCAACCTTGCTCTTGAATCGATCCCGCAACCGCTTCGTCTGAATTGCAATCCCCATCATTCTGCCGCTTCCACATAGACTCCCATTGCTTAAACTCCTCATAGTCCGAGGCTACTTTGCCCACCTCATCAAAGGACCTTAGCCTCACAAGCGCCCTCTCCAACGCCTCAATCAACTCCACCTCCGACCTCGCCGACTCCCCACTCGCCGCCATCTCCCGAATCATATCTAATCCAACCCGTAACGCCTTGCGAAAATGATCAGAGCGATCCTGGATCGAGTACGCAATTAGCACGAGCAGCGCTGCTCGACACGAACTGTACTCTATATACGAGGCGCGCGCCAGACCAGGGCCACTATCACTGTCGCGGAGGGTGCTGCAGATGGAGATTGCGTCCGCGGCGGCTGTTATGCAGCAGGTCACCAGTTCCCGGCGGGGCGTGGGCTTCTGCGCGGTGCTTGAGGGGGGAGTAGCTGGGGAAGTTGGGTTTGAGGGCGAGCCTCGCGAGAAGAGAAACGGGCGGCCGATGAACATGCGGAGGAGGCAGTGTTCGAGTTTGAGGTGGGCTGTTGATCGATCGACTGGGGTCTGGGCGTCGTCCTTTTGGATTATGAGTGGGAGCGTGGACCACCATCTCTCTAGGTCATTTTTCCTGTCGGCGAGTCGTGAGAGCAGGAGGGGGAGGTCCTGTTTTGGGGTAGTGCGGAGGAGGGATCTGTGGTTGTCAGTATTACTCGTCTGCGCTTTACTGGCAGAGTGGACGTACATTTCTTTATAGAAATCCTCCAGGTGATGCGTGAGATGTATTGAAGCAAGCATATATGGGGTTGTCGAGTCTTGTTCACCCAAGTCAACCGGCAAATGCGTGTCGACGTCCGATCGAAGCATTCCTAGAGGTCGGCCATGGAATATAGATATTTTCCTACTCCGTCAGTATTGTAGCAAACAAAGCAACAGAGAAGTAATACCTCTCCATCGCATACGCTGTCCACCACACCTTATTCCTCGTCTCCATCATTGCCGCACTAAACGCCTCCCCCACGCACCGCCGATGCATTCCGTTCTGCATCGCCAGCCGAATCGTCAGATTGATATACACGTACCCCAGCCCCGCCGCATCAATAGGCAACGCATACGCCGCAAAGAGCAGACAGGCCTGCACGCTCTCCAGCGAGGACACCTCGATGATCTCCGGCAGCAGCCGGATCGCTTCCTGGTAGAACATTGTGCCCAGCTCGTCCTCGGAGAAGTTTTGGCTGGACGAGGCAGGGGCGGACTTTGCTTCGAGGTAGGCGTATTGCGTGCCGATGGCAAAAACAGTCAGGATGATGCTGAGGACTGGGGCGTCTTTGCTGGTGAGGGTTTCCGGGTTGGTGTAGAGGGCGGTTAGTCTGGTGAGGAGCCATGATCTGTCGACGTAGAAGTAGTGGGTTACGGCGTGTTTGAAGAAGATGCTGACGAGGAACTCGGCGATGTGGCGAGGGGGGATGCAGGAGATGGCTGCTGCGAGGGTCCGCGAGCTGGATCGCAGCTGTTTCGCTCGGGGGTAGTTCGATATTTGGTTTGGGGGTTGAGTCTGGACCAGTTAGTATGTATGGAGAAAAAAGGCAGAAACATACCTGGCTCAGGGAAGCGGAAGCAGCCATCCTATCCTCGATCTGACGCTTGACGCGCATGGAGAAGTTCCAGTAGGAGAATTCCCCGGAGAAGTCTGTCTATAGTCAGCGCCCGCTATCTACAATGTAGAAAAAAGAAAACGCACGAGTAACGGTATCCTCGACCGGGTCGATCGTGCACTCCTCTTCTTCCATAGTCAACTCGGCCTCATCAGTCTCCGGCTGCATCTCCTTGCCCGTCTCATCAATCGACAGCGCCATCTGCCTGAGACTCTTCGTATCTAGCGCGATCCCCTTGAACGCGTGTTTCAGGATCCGCTCCATGTACATGGCCCGCTCCTGCAGTTCCACCAACGCATCCCGAGCGCTAACAGTGTCAGCCTGCACAGAGTACTAACTAGTGACTGCTGACGTACGTACCTGATATCCTGCGATACGGGCATACCCCGCACGCGACAGGGACGGCCAAGGTGCGAACACTTCCTGCAGGGGATTCCTCCCTCGCATTTTTCTTTCCATCGGCGGCATTGATCGCAGCTGTATTGTCAGTTTGATACTTGGTACTTGATTTGGAGGTAGGCCTACGCTCTGGCTGTGCGCTTTCTCTCGTCTGTTACTTTGCGCCGTTTGAGTCGGGGTGCGGGTGCTTCGGTGCTTGATTGCGCTCTGGGGGTGGAAGATAGCGGGGGCTGGTATGCGCTCATTTTAGCATGCTAGAAGTCCAATGATGAGAGTAAGAGTAGATTATGTGTTATGTGTTATGTGTGAATAAATGCAATGAAGATTGCTACATTGGTGTGGACCATGTGGCTGCAGCTTGAATCGGGCTTATCTCTGGGTGGGGAAACTTAGGTTTGGCACAGATAACGGAAGTGGTATAAACATGGGGTAAGATCCACTGATAACGCTAATCTAAAGTAGGAATTATACCTACTGATGCACCACACTGGCAACTGGCTAACTATCTATCTACTGCTTGGTAGCAAAAAATGACCCCGTCCCAAGAATATCCCCGTCCTCTTCTTTCCCCCCCTGCGCCCTCTCAATCCTCTCCTTGGTCGTCTTGAACAGCCTCGGCATCCCCGTCTCCTCAAACCCAACCCCCTCGCCCACCATCCTCGCCAACCCCTCCGCCGCCAGCCAAACAACCGGCATCCCATGCCCATTCAACCCAGCTAGGATGAACTGCCCCTCGCTGTCCGGCACAGCCCCGACATGCGGATTCGAGTCATACGAGTAGCCCATGACCCCTGCCCAGATCTGGTCTACCCTCGCCCCCGACTCCTCCCACCCGCGGAACGTCCGCTGCATGTACCCGTCATAGAAGTCCTTGGCGGCGTCGACGAGTACGCTGTCGTCGGTATTGTTGTACCACTGGTCGCGATGGGGTTTGAAGAGCGCCGACGCGCCTCCGACGATGATGCTCCCGTCTGAGCGGGGAATCAGGTACGAGAGGACGTTGTCCTTGGTGCGGTCGATGTACGAGTTTGTGAGTAGCGGGGCAGTTTGCCCTTCGGGGACGGTGATGCGGCAGCAGATGCCTTTGCAGGGGATGATGTTGTGTTTGTACTGTGGGAGGAGAGAGGAGACGTACGCGTTGGAGGTGTGGATGACTTTGTCGCCATGGAGGGTGCCGCGGGGGGTGTCGATTGTGAATTTACCGTCTGCAGATGGAGTGACTGCTGTCGCGGGGGTGTATGTCTGCAAATTGACCTTTCCTGACGCCAGGAGTTTGGCGAGAAGGTGCATGATGAACTTGTATGGCCAGATGGTGGCCGCCGTGTAGGAGGCACAGGCCACGGCGCCTTTGACGCCGCAGATCTGATCGCGTTAGTACGGATAGTGGCATGATTTCGAGGTAACGTACTCCCTCTACATTTTTTCCTGTGTGGAAGTCAACATCGTCCATATACGCGAATCCGTACCCCTTCATGCGCTCGTAGACCTTCCTCGCCCCCTCTGCCGCTTGCTCATTACACCACACGTCGATGGTCCTTGTAAGTCTGAAATCGCAGTCGATCTGCTCGCTCTCGACCAGTTTCTTGATCGCTGGGACATGCGCAATCTCAAACTCGGCAATCTCCGCCGCTGCTTCAGGACCGGCGCGGTCAATGTACGTCGGGATATGTCCGTACAGATCCGGGCGCAGGTGGCCTCCGTTGCGACCGGTGGCACCTGAACAAGCACCTCTTGCCTCCAGGATAGTGATTGACTTGATGTTGGTGTGGTTGTGTAGTAAATGCCAGGCGGTGCTCACGCCCGCATACCCAGCGCCGATGATAACCACATCGCTGTGCGTGGGGAGATCTTCGGTGGAGCGATGGTCGTGTAGTTCGTGGGGGTTGTTCTGCCAGAAGCAGGCAATGGGGTTTGAGGGGAGGGTAGACATTGTTTATGCCCTTATCACAACGGTCAAATTTGACCACTGTAAAGGTCTCCTATATACTTATTCTTGCGATGAAGTGGTCTGATCAGGAGTTGTCTATCTGCTGAAGATGCTCCGGTCAAGTCCCGATGATCCACAATTTACCTTCCCCACTTCTCCCCTCATTTCTCCACTGATCATCTTTATCTTTTCTTATCTTCGCGATGCGAGCTGCAATTGTCCGGTCAAGTCCGGTTTATCATCATGTGACCCTGCATCAGCCGGTCCAGATCCGGTTGGTCATGGTGTAACTATCCCAGAAGCAAGGGCTTTAGGTTGCAGTGGCTACACAAAATGAGGGGAAATCGAAACCTTGAGATAGGAATTGCAAATGCATCGCCTTCATTGGAAGAACATGTCAAGCTATCTACCGCACTCTAATCTCAAAGCTAAACCATCACCGGATGAGCTTGAGCAGAGAGATAAGACATTGGTTAAATATCGCCAACTGGCACACAATATCACCTTACCTCCAAGGTCCCCAACCTACTTTCAAATTGAGCATGCCACCTGAAACAGAGACACCAAGAATAATGCAAGACCCTGAAAAAGACATCCCCCATGACACCGAAAAGCAACTCCCCGACAATGTCGACTCCGCCGCCGATCATCTCGGCGAGATCCGCCTGGTCAAACAAGGCCTCCACCAGCGACATATCCAGATGATCGCGCTGGCCGGGACCATTGGTACCGGCCTCTTCCTCAGCTCTGGGCGTGCCATCGCCCGCTCGGGGCCTCTTGGAGCCCTTCTAGGGTACACCATCATCGGCGTGGCCGGCTCAACCGTTGTCTTTGCCGTCGGCGAGATGGGGGCTCTGGTTCCGCTGAATGGAGGCGTGGTCCGCTACGCCATGCTCTTCTTCGACCCGGCGCTCGGCTTTGCCAACGGCTGGAACCAGGTCTATTCGTACCTGGTCTCCATCCCCGCGGAGCTGGCCGCGGCGGCCGTCATCGTCGAGTTCTGGGTGACGGTCAACAATGCAATCTGGATCACGGTGTTTGGGGTTCTGATGCTGGTGACCGCGCTGCTGTTTGTGCGCGTGTACGGGGAGCTCGAGTTTGGGTTCTCGATGATCAAGATCATGCTCGTCATCGGCATCAATATCATGGCGCTAGTGATCACCTGTGGAGGCGGGCCGGACAGGCAAAGCATTGGATTCAGGTACTGGCGGAATCCCGGTCCGTTCGTGCAGTACCTGGACGTCCCGGGCTCGTGGGGCCAGTTCCTGGGGTTCTGGACGACGCTCAACAACGCGCTGTACGCGTACTCTGGGATGGAGAACATCACCGTGGCCGCGGCGGAGACGCGGTCTCCGCGGCAGGCGATCCCCAAAGCGGCGCGACGGATCTTCGCGCGTGTATTTTTGTTTTATATTCTGTCCATCTTCATGGTGGGCATGCTGGTCCCCTCCAATGACCCCACCCTGCTCCGCTCGACCGGCAATGCGTCCCAGTCACCGTTTGTCATTGCCGCCCGGCGCGCCGGCATCCAGGCCGTCCCATCTATTATTAACGCTGCGGTTCTGACCTCTGCCTGGTCCGCGGGGAATGGCAACATCCTCGGAGGCTCTCGCATCCTCTTCGGGCTGGCCATGCACGGACATGCACCCAAATTCTTTACTAGGGTCAACCGGTTCGGGGCGCCTTATGTTGCTGTCGCCCTGATCGGGGTCTTTATGGGACTCGGCTACATGACGCTGTCCGCCTCGGCCAGCACCGTTTTTAACTGGTTGCAGGACATCGTCTCCATTGCGACTCTCGTGAACTGGATGTGTATCTGCATCATCTACCTGCGGTTCCTGTACGGGTGCCAGAAGCAGGGAATCGACCGGCAGAGGGAGCTTCCGTGGGCGGCGCCGCTGCAGCCGTACCTGACCTGGTTTGCGCTCGTGTTGTTTACACTTTTATTGTTCACTGGGGGATACAGCACGTTTATGCGGGGGCATTGGGATACGGAGACGTTTGTCTCGTCGTATTTGAACATTCCGATCATTCTGGTGTTGTATTTTGGGTATAAGCTGTGGGGGAGGACGGCGATCATTCCCCTGGAGGAGATTCCCATCCGGCCGTTTATCCAGGCGTACCAGGAGGAGCCCGTGCCCGAGCCAAAGAGGAGGACCTGGTGGAGGCGGTTGAATATTTTATGGTCATAGTCTTCGATTACAATTGTATTTGTTGGTTACAAACATAACTGATAGTGCGGGACTGCATTCCATGATAAGGCTACGGAGTAGAGATATCAAAGTAATCTCCGATAATCCTCCGAGTGGACCGGAACGCATCTTGAACAGTAGTAGTATATCCAGATCGACAAGATAAGCAAGATTGCCAGAACATGTCTCCTGTCTCATCCGCCGGATGTGATCCGGTCCTCCATGCATCACTTCGCATCTCCACTTCCCAATCGTGGAATCCACATAAACAACCGACCCCTCACTCATCACTCACACACAAATCGAACCCCAACTACCTACAACCAACAGAAGAATTACCAAGGAAAATGCCAAAACACATCATCTTCGACGTGGTCGGCACCTGCGTCTCCTTCGACGCCTACTATGCCTCCATCGCCGACACAATCGGCCCAAAACTCACAACTTATGGGATCACCCCCAATCACTTCGGGTACACATGGATGACCGCCGCGGAGCTCGAATTCACCTTCCTGTCCATTTCCGAGTCCTACCGCCCCTATAAAGATGTCATGCGCGCTCTCTTCTACCGCAGCCTCTTCATGGCTGGCGTGGCCGACCCACGCTCGGTCTTCACAGATGAGGAGCGAGACGCGTGTATACGTGGCTATGCGTCTTTGCAGCTGCGTTCTGAGCTTGTAACTGCGTTTGAGAGATTGCGGAATGCGGGGTTTGAGGTGTGGTGTCTAACTACTGGGGATGTGGAGCGTGTCCGGGGGTATTTTACGCGGGCGGGGGTTGAGATGCCGGTGGAGAGGGTGTTGAGTTGTGATGGGCTGAGGGTTGCGAAGCCGGCGCTGGGGGCTTATCGGGCTGCGCTGGAGAGGATTGGGGGAAAAGAGGAGAAGTGGTTTGCGGCCGCGCATTTGTGGGATGTGTCGGCTGCGGTAAGGGCGGGGTTTCGGGGGGCGTATTGTGGTGTGCTGGAGGGGGAGGGCTGTTGGGAGGTGTTTGAGAGGGAGAGGTTGGAGGTTGTTGCTGAGGGATTGGTTGAGATGGCGGAGGGAGTCATTAAGTTGTCTGGTTAGCATTTCCTCTACAGCTATCCTATCTTATAGCAGACGCTCTGCATATGACTGTTGTGGATGGAAGTATAGGTATCATTCAATGTACAGGTTATCATAGACCAATTAAGAGGCATCAATCATACATTCATATCAATCAATCTGCGACAGCGATAATCCTGCTCACATTAGTTCAGATCAGGCATCGCCAAGGAACAACTCACTCATCCCGATCAAGAAGCAAATACTCATCCCTATCAACCTTCACCTCCTTCCCCTTCCCMTACGCATGCATCAGCACCATCTCCAGGATCTTCTCCAGAAGCTTGTCCAGAGTCAGAAACCCACCTTGGGATAAATCACCAAATCCCCCAGCCTCACGTCCTTCGCATGCTGTTTCCCATCCCCCGACGCCTTCGTCGTGCCAACCGCCAGCACAACCCCCCGCGCAGGCTTCATGGATTTCGTCCCCATACTTGACGTCCCAACATGCGTGATCTCATCTTCAGGAAGGACGATCACAGTGTTTTCCTTCGGACAGAGGTACTAACAGGCCTTTGTTAATTGTAATCCGTCATACTGGCGGTGGGTGAGGGTGTGGCGAATCCGTAAACTCTAAGGACCTTTGCTACATACCGAGTGAACTGCGTCCGCGTGTTCCATGTTGCCAGTATCTACACGATAGAGAAGACGTACAAGGTGATAGGATCAGTTGTTTGTTTCGTCAGCATAATTATACAGATCGAATTTAAGGCTAGCAGTAGCTACCAGGTGGTATCAGCGCATCATCTGATTTTATGTCCTCCGGGTAGGCATATCTAGTTATGACGTTCCCGTCTCCCCCGAACCCAATCAGATGAGCTGTCAGTATGTCTCCGCTCGGTGGTTCTGGCCACGTCCGATTCGTCAATGGATTTGATTGTGTTTAAGCTTCGGCCGAAGGGTTGTCTCTTGTTGTGGTGATCTTGATTGAGTCGGGTACGTTACTGGATAAACCCTCCTGAACCCCTACGGAATATCTTTTCATTGCCCAAATAAGGTGAGCACAGTTTCCATTAATCTACTACTCATCTGCTAACTGCCAACCATAACTGATCCTGAGACTACGCAGTAGAACATGACCAATCCACCGTTTCAAGCATCTTGCTTTTCCAGATATGAGGTCGTCCAGAGTGCAGTTGAGAACAGGGGCCCTACTACAACTGGATCTGGGTGCAGCCAAGCACAATGAGTCCGTTCTAAACATCAAGTAAGTATCCCGTCCGACGAAATTCTGCGGTGCCTACTTACGAAGTCATTGCCACTGCAGCAAGCAGCATTGTTGGAGCAGCTACCGCCAAGAATACTGGTGCCTGGGTTCGTTAACAAAGCAGAGCAAAATAGATTTCAAGTCAGGCCATACAATCCAGACCGACATCGCCGATTAGGCTATCAACATCCACTCTCAAGAGTCCGAGCAAGCCCTTGGTACGATCATCAAGGTGATCCTTGTCCTCAATGTCTCTGCAGCATTTCTCGTTTTCAGGGCTGCAGTCTGCGTTGATGGTCGTGAAGCAGGCGGCGCTGACGAGGGCGGCGAGGATGGTGCGGGAGAGCATTTTGCAGGTAGTTGGTTTGTTTGAGTCTGTGACTGTGATTGGTGTGTGCTTGTGATGGTGATTGTTGGAGGAAGATGTTCTCACCGTGAGTGCGTCTTCTCTTTATACCATGCTCGAGGCATTATGTCATTGACAACAGCCATCCTCGGAGATGGACTTGGAATGAGACTCTCGTCATTCCTGAAGCAAGCCTCGCCTTGGCTTTGTCCTAGGGGGTAAGAAGGGCGTCATTCTCAATGAGAAATGCCGTGAAGTTATAAAGACACACCCCGTGGGGTAATCATCGGAGACTTGGGCCAGTAGCGCATTCTTCGTCTGTTGAAGAATGCGGTGTGACACCGACCGACCCTAAGAAAAGCACCAACAAGCTTTTAAAGTCCGCCTGAGGACATGTGATGCAGCAAGGGGATGGTCGCTGGCTGCCTGGCCCGACTGATTTGGATATATTGTACCGGGAATGGGTCAGCAAGGGGCAAGCTGACCGTAGCTATGACCTCAGCCCTCGTACAGCTCATCCTTCTCCAACATGCTATTCAGGTACGACATATTCTATGTTCGTATATCATTTATGCTCTCCTGCAGTCAATTTCGAAGTATCTTGTTGTGACCGAGCCGCGTGGATGCAAAGCTTCACATTGTAACCAGCCTCGTTTCAGAGCCATCTCGTGGTAGGGCTCGCTCACGTATGCGAAGTACAAATAACCTTCGTTCAAACCTAATCCAATGCTTCAAGCTGGGAGTTGTGTAGCGGTCAAGAGATCTAAGCTGCAGGCGCAAGACTGCAAAGCTTTGGCTACAACCATGTCATACACGGGGAATGAGCCAATGTGGCCTCAAATTTCTCGTGCGTATGCTCCAAAGCCCAGGAATGCATCATGCGCCTTAACTGAGTTTTACAGTCTGCATCGCATCAGCGAAATCATTGTCTCCGCGCTCCCTTGGTGTCAATAACCGGGTGCTACGCGAACGTTTCAGTCCCAGGTCTAGCTGTGAGGAGCTGATCCCGACTATCTTGAGCAGATATGTCGCTCTTCAGCACTCGGTCCTGACACTCAGGGTAGCGGCATCGCTAGAGTCCCCTGATTCTTTGGCTTCTTAGGTTACGCTGCCTTACTTCCCGCAGTATTCCCGAACCAGAAATTGGACAAAGAGACCCTATAAGAGCTGAGAAGTTTTGCAACAAAGTCTCCAACTCAGCAATGAGTTCCTGTTCCCAGCACGGATCGCCACCCCATCTGCAAGGGAACTGCTCGAAATCATTGAGCAGGAGTGGCGTCAGCTCCCGGCGTCGAAGATACAGAATCACAGCTGAGGCACATGCTGGCTTTGCATTGCGGTTTCCTGGACACATTCGGGGACGGTTGTGCGCTAAGATGGATCAGCCTGGACTGACTCTTGCAAGAGCTTAACGACTTCGATGGCATATGCGTCAGGGATGTTGGGTTGCGACCAAGCGTAGAGGGACACTCGGTGGCAGATGGTCCTCCGAAACAAGGTCCAGAGGGCCCTGCGCATGCTTCCACTAACATAGATATGTCAGTGAATCTAGATGTAGGTGATGACCAGTCAGATCGCCAGGCCAAAGATGCAATCAGCCACTGTTCCCTCCAGCTAGTCGAGCCTCCAGCTTGAAAGGACACAGCATTCCTTCTTATAAAGGAAACCTACCTTTCTATTTAAGCTGCCGAAGTTCATACCCGCCCCAGTTCTCGTGATTCAATCCGCCTACAGTCCACTACCCCGCCACCGTTTGGGCTGCAAGCGGTGGAGGTCCGATGTCCAATTTGGAACGACACCAATCATGCTTATGATTGTCGAGACGACACAGTTCCTTCTTTGACTAGGACAAAAATACCTACAAGAAGACCAGAGCTGTTTGGTTCTCGACCAGGAAATTGTGACCCTCTTAAGAGGAGTTTTGTGGATTCCTACTGGATGCGAGGAAAGCCAGATGGCCCAAGAAAGACAGAGTGGCTCTGTATATCACTTCTCTCTGGGAGTACGAAAAAGTCGTCGATTTGAAACACCAGATGAACTCAGCTGCGAGATGGAAGCAGATCAAGAGCATCAAGTACACAGGTCGTGCGACGCCCGACTCCTGTCGAATCGATCAAAACACATTGTACAATGTGGAAGAAAATCATCGAAAGCGGCCCCCTATCAACAGCTGTATATTAACGGCAAGCGAGCGCATCGACGATCAAATCGATCTTTTCTTGAGTGGTGCTATCTATGTGCGGCACGTATTAAGACACAGGATGACTGGATGGGGCATTGCTGATTTCCCCTGGCTATCAAAATTGCAGTATACGCTGGTTGTACCTGGATTTTGTCCTTCTGCTTAGGAAATGACGGTAAAAGGCATGAAGAACGGTTCCAGCAATGGCGGCAGAAATGCACAATCAATCACATTGATGGACATTTGGCTGAGAACAAAATAGATAAGGTTATTACTTGCCCTCCTCCTTGCTGTAAGGAAAAATCTTATAATTTCTAAGCTAAGGGGGATTTGCCCACCTGCCATGGGGTTTAGTATTCCACAGAGTCAGTTAAAGCAAAGGCATCTTCCTGTTCAGATATGGGCCACCCAGACAGAATCCTTACATGGACAAGAAGCCCAATTAATGCTGTGGCCGCATTTCTGGCGGGATGCAGAAAAGGCTAAGTTTAGATTTATTGGGATGGAGAGATTCATTGAGGAGCTGGAAGAAGTCGGCCCCATAGAATGGAAAGAAGAGTTCTATGAATTTAAGAGACTGCCTCGTCTTTGAATGCGATTGGTCCTCTCAATTCTTTTCTTACTTTGTCTGAAGTTGCATATCCAAGATTATGTGGCCATCACTCGTTATTTCGACTTCTTCTCCCCCTCAGAAAAATCCTTTGATACGCCTTTCTTATTGCCTGTTACTAGATCGCGACTAATTGTCTAGCAATGGTGAGCTAATCCTAACTATCTTAAGCAGATATGTCGCTCTTGAGCATAGGCTCTGACATCTAGGGTACTGGCATCGCTTAAATTCCCTGATCCTTTGAGCTTCTTAGGCTACGGTGCCTCATCTCCCGCAATACTCCCAAGCCAGAAATTTGACAATTAACCCTGTAAGAGCTGAGAGTTTGGCAACAAGGTCTCCAGCTTAGCGCTTAGGGCCTGTTCCTCAGCCCAGATCTCCATCCCATCTGCAAAGGAACTGCTCAAAATCATTAAGCAGCAAGTGGCATCAGTTCCGACATCGAAGATACAAACGGATAACAGCTGAGGCACATGTCTAGCTATGCATTGCGGTTGGTCGGGCGACCTCCCGTCTGTGGATGTCGGTTGCAAACCAAGCCTGGCGGAAAGTCAATCGAAATGCTGTTCACCGGAAGATACGTCAGTATAGTGTAGATGCAGATGATAACCCGGGTGATCGCCAGGCCAAAAATGCAATCAGCCACTGTTTCAGCGATCAGCGTCCAACTTGAAGATGCAGTTAGAAGACAGAGATTTTGGAGGTACATGACTTCTCATGATCTGCGAAATAAAGTCCCAAACTTCATGCTAATGCACCAACCTACAGTGTATGACTTTCTATGCAATGATAGAATAGACACCTGAATACCCCTTATTTAAATGTTGGGAGTAGGTCCGGCCATAGGTGTTTCTATAGGTTATACTAGAATGAAGTGTGCATGGTGATACGTCCTATTTCGTGGCAGGTGATTTCGTTACAACAGAGTCTCATACAGGATCCGGACGCCGACAAAATCGGCTATGAAACAATAATTATGCATTGTTAGTTAACCGCACTGAGTACGCTCGATTTCGAAAACAGGTTGCCGTATAGACATCCACGCTTTGTTTCTTGGCCCGTACTCGAAACGACCCTATTCCGTTTTGGGTTACTCCATAAACAACCTTCATATACACAAGATGGATAGGAACAACAGTGTATCTATCGTTAAAGGCACCCGATCCTTAGTAGGCTACGTGCGTGTAGTCGATACAGCCTAGTTCTGTCCTTCCCCCCAATTCCCCTGTGAAACCCACAACACTCACAAAACGCAGTCCTGGTCCTCCGTAGCGCCGTACATGCTCGGACTTGTGAATTCGTCCATCTCGGGTGGTCCGGGATCTGCAGGGCGGTCCAATTACAGTGCTCATATCTCAGGAAGTTCCGGAGAGTCCAGACTTCTTCTTTTCTGTTGTCTACGGACGGAAAAGCCGGACAGGTCCCTACGGAAATTACCCCGCAAATTGCATCTGGTCAACTTTTCGAACTCGGGTCCTTGTCTCGCAATTCCACCTCCAGAGTGAAATTACCCTCTGTACCCCCTGTCTGTGTCTGATTAGCCGCGTGTTGAGCCTCTGATATGTCCGGCCAGGACAACACGCGTGCGTATGGGGTCAAGTCCTCTAAGCAAAACAGGCGCGGCTTCATTTGCCCGCAATGCAATGCTAGATTCAATCGCTTGGCTCATCTACGACGTCATGAGATGACACGTACGTTGTTTCTGCTTCCGATTGCCGCCGGTCGGCTGGCTAATGGCCATAATCCATAACTTCAGACGGCGGCGAGAAGCCGTATAACTGTCTGTACTGTCCCGTAGCCTCGTCGCGGAAGGATGTCATCACTCGTCATACCAGAAATTTGCATCCTGGGGCCGCCAACACAAATGCGGCTGGCTATCGCGGCAAGCGCCGAAACCATTCTGATTCCGTAGATCCTGTCACTGGCAATCGCCCTTTGCGGGCATCATCCACGAGTGTGACCGGAGGGAACAACCGAAACTCAGATGGGCTCGGCGATTCAACAGAGGAGCCACAAGAATCTCCCGGAAGCCGAGAGGTGAATGGTTCCCAAGCGAGTCAGGAGAATCCGCTTGACGTCCTCTTCTCGTATACAGAAATATTCCCTTCCTGTCTTCAAGAGAACCCTATGGGCGTTTCTAGTTCCTTGGTGGAACCAGACCTCCTCAACTCCAGTCTTTCCGAAATTATCGGCATTGACGCCCTGCTATCAAATGCTCACGAACTCTTGGGTGGAGTGTCCAACCACAATGMCAGTGACCTTCTGGCGTCGGTCCCAGAGCAACCAAGAACGAATTTACCGGATCTGGGCCACAACGTGAGTGCAGCCCAACGCACCTGGCTTGCAGACGACGAGGCTTGTGCAACTGCTTTGGCAAACATTGCCAAGTACCCTGCCAATCTACTTGCTTCTCTTCGATTCCCCTCCAAATATGCAGTGAGGCGGTTCGTGAAAGCTTTCTTCGAGCACATTGCTACCCATATACCGATTGTGCACGAGCCAAACTTGACATCGCTACGGTACCATCTGAGTCTCATGACCGATAGTGGTGAGGCCATTCTTGATGTTTTTGTCTATCTAGCCCCCCTTTTGCTCGCTATGATGGCGTGTGGCGCAGTTTATCTCAGTGAGCACTCCGTTGCTGTCTCCATGCACGCTGTTGCTATGCAACTCATCCTCGAGGTAGGCCAAGGAGCCGGTAAACGCCGAAGACGCCGTGTTTAGCTCACAAATCAACTAGCACGAACGGACGGCTGTGCCTTGGATGACTGACAACGAGGCCCAAACCTGGACGCTGCAGACATATCTGCTATTGAGCTATTTTGCAGTATATTGTGGAGTTGAGGGGCGTGTTACCCAAACGTTTCCACATTCTGTAAAGGTATGTGTCATTGATGACAGGAGTCTTGCATGACTGTTGGACACTGACGGAGTGCGTTTGCAGCTGGTACAGGAGGCGCTTGGCGATCTCAAGACGCGTCCGATTACAACGTACAAAGATTGGGTACGTCAAGAAAGTACCAATAGGTATCTCTGCTTCCCCCTTGCTCTAAACGACTTCAACATTAAGATGTTCCAAGGTGCATCGCAAGTACAATCCTTCTTGGGGCATCGATTGCCTCAAACGACATTTAACCTAATGGATAGCCCCTCCAAAAGTGGAATCGAAGTAGAGAAAAATTTCTACCTCAGGCCTGCCTTACCATACTGTCCATCTCTCTTTTGTTCATCCTAGCAATAAACTGCCGTAATCTCTTGTTCCCCCCAGGGTTGACTATAATTTCTCCAGCTCTTCCAGATCATTGGGTGTATAGCCTTATGCAAAGTTATGCAGGCTTCATATGGAATCCTTCTAATGGCGATCACATGTAAGTCATGTACATTAAGTACCAAGGGGTCTAATGGAATATCACAATGTACAACTTCTGCCTTGTAGCAAGTCAGTTATATTTAACTTACGAGCCTTACTATATATTATATTCAGATGCCGGCTGCTTCCTTTTACAAATCTAACGCTTCTATTGATTTCAAATCGCACCTAAAACTGAGGACTACCTCGTGGAATGAAAAACAGAGCCCAGCAGTCGTTCATGAATCTTGGTATACTGTTTAGAAAATATACATGTCTATGGTAAGGAACTAAGTAGAACAAGAGTAGACTATGCCTTTGCATTCACATAACAGTACAGGGAAACCTAAACTAATAGGGAAAACCTATACCAAGGCAAGAAAACTCACAGAATTTCTAATATATAGCATGTCTTATAGAACATGCTAGTGAGAAAAGATATCAGTCACAGCTATAGTAATATGATCTTCTGTCCTTACATTCCTGAATTCCGCCCAGCCTCCACTGTTGTTTGCATCAAGATGGCTTACTAAGATTAATCAGTCAGTCTCATATTTCTTTGTATCACTTCTCCAGGAAGGATAGACCACTTACACCCTATCCATATTCCACCTTAGTCAGCCCTGTATTCTTTATATTATCTCTCCAGGAAGGATAAACTACTTACACACTGTCCATATTCCTCCTCAGTCAGTCCTGTATTCTTTATATCATCTCTTCAGAAAGGATAGACCACTTACAAGCTATCCATATTCCACCTCAGTTAGCCCTATATTCAATAATGCCATCTCTCTAGGAAGGGTAGGCTACTTACCTCCTATCCATATTCAACCTCAGTCAGCTCTGTATTCTTTATGTCATCTCTCCAGGAAGGATGGACCACTTACAGGCTATCCATATTCCACCTTGATCAGCCCTATATTCTTTATATCATCTCTCTAGGAAAGATAGACTACTTACATTCTATCCATATTCCACCTCAGTCAGCCCTGTATTCTTTATATCACCTCTTCAGGAAGGATAGACCACTTACAAGCTATCCATATTCCACCTCAGTC